CTTCTCCGCCACTCCTTCGAGATCCACATGTCCACAATGGCCTCCCAGCAGAGGCGGTGCCTGGCGCACCAATCAGGACATTGTTGCATGCCATCAAGTTATTGATATGTCAGAAGATGAAATAAAGCCTACCTATTCTTCATGGAAGGAGTCAGTATTAATGTTTCGTACTTACCGAGAGGTACTGCTCCTTGGTGAGCGTCCTGGTCCTGGCATCGGCCTTCCTCACCACCTGACCAAGGACGTCGGTGTTGTAGTTGATGATGCACTGGAGCCGGTCTCGTGGTACAGGTCTGAGAGTCGGGACCTACAGACCTTGTCCTGCACTCGCGCCGCCCGGTCCTCAAACCCTTCGTCGCACCTGAAGAAGTCCTGCATACAGACATCATGTATCGTTTCATTATTTCAAGAACGACCAATGAATGCGTAGTATTGACCAATTTAGTGCGATGCAGACTCACCCAGAACTCGGCCTTGATCCGCGCCACAACGGTGCCGAACTCGCTGTCCTCGGCGGCGTAGAAGTGGTCCCACGTCCAGGGCGGCAAAGTCACCGAGGCGTAGGTGACCTTGCCAGGGTAGTGCTGCCAAATCAGAAGGCCCAGGGTGCCATTGATGTGCCGGCCCATTCCAGACACAACTTCCCAGTTGCTGCAAGAGTCATTAAGAAGAATTGTTAGTCTCTAGTTCGATTTTCCACATATCATATGAAATAGTAGTGAAATAATACTTACTTGTCGCCGCTGGGTCGAATCACCGGGTGCCGGTGAAGTTGGATCGGCCATGCCGGGAGCTGCGAGGGCCCGTGCAAGTAGACTCCCGACGAGGTAGAGCCAGAGGCAGTGCAAGTGAAACCTCCTGCTGTCGCTATCATCGCCTCCCCGTGGTCCGATGAGTCAGAGGAAGTGCCACCCCCTCCTATGTGCAGGCCCACCGCCTGGTCGTCCTTGTCCACCGACGGGGTGGCAGCCGGCTGCACCCTCGTCCTCGGACGGCCGTGGGGGCGGCCGCTCCTCGTCCTCCTCGTTGGCGGCTCCAGCAAGGGGTCCTCGTCAGCGTGGGGTGGTGAGCGCTCCCTCATGTAGAGGGAGTTGACCCCCTGACAGGCCTGCCTTCCGCCCGGCATTTTGTTGAGTGCCTACAATTTCAAAGAGTAAACCAATTAGCACAGTTAAATTACAAGTACTTATAAAGAGATGCAAAATGAACGAAACATAATTGCAATAATAATAATAATAATAATAATATAGTATTACATGAATTAGAAATATTCTTCACGATCGGCAGCGGCTGGATCATAGGTGTCGTCATCACTATCAATATTGTCGAGTAAATCGGGTTGAAACATGACGCCGGGGGGGAGATTGAGGGGGATCACGAACACGGGCCAACAAGTGTACAGGACCGCCAGCAATCCATAGGGGTTGAACCTATCTGTTGCCAGCGCTACACGTACATTCCGAGCCTCCTCAGCTTTACCATGATATATGCCATCGAAATGGGTCCATGCATCGCCATCCGATGGGTGTACCATCTTGTCAGCATTGTATATTTTGCCATGTTTGTGTCATGTCATCTGTTTCGCGGACTCCTCTGTCATGTATAGCCGTTGGATCCTCGGTATGACAGGAAGGTACCGTAGGACCTTCGCGGGGATACCAAGCTATTCCTTCTTGCCATCACTAGTGTTGACCTCCAGATACCTAGAGGATTTGCACTTTGGACAGTGCATTGCTTTCTTGTGATCTTTCCTAAATAGGACGCAACCATTCGGACAAGCATGGATGTGCTCATACGGCATCTTAAGGGCACGAAGAAGTTTCTGTGACTCGTACAAGTTCTTCGACAGAATGTGACCCTCCGGAAGCAGGGATCCAACAACTGCCAACATACCATCGAAGTTGTCTCGACTCATGCTACACTACGACTTGAACGCCATTAGGCGTCCAATGGCATCCAGTTGCAAAACCATTGTCTTTTCATGAAGGGGCTTCTGTGCCGAAGATAGCATATCGTAGTACGCCTTTGCGGATTCCTCTGGCTCGTCCTCTAATCCTTCACCGAACCGTGCCACCTGAAAGTCATTCATCCAGTCTGCTACCCCAACATCTCCATCAAAAGCCTCGAGGCGTGGTCTCACCACCTCCTCTCTAATACGATCGGCTTCACCATGGTGGATCCAGTAGGTATAGTTTGGCGTGAATTCATACTTGCAAAGATCTTCCCCCACGTTCTTCCTATTCTTTCTTACATGGTTGTCACATTTGCTGCAGGGACACGGCATCCGACTCGACCCTCTAGCAGCCTCGCCAAATGAATGCTCCAAGAAAGCATTAGTCTTAGTCATCCATTCGGGGTCATACTTGCGTGGCCCGTGTACATCCAATCATGGTTCTCCATCCTTTGGCATATACATATGTAAGCGAGTAATATAACCGATAATTGCATCGCACGGCGTTCCTACCATCTAATAGGTGAGGATAGGTCCTAATCACCACGCGAATGCGTAGATGAGGTCGATTTCAATGCTACGCTCCTATCGAGATAGAATTGGCAGAAGACACCTCCTCATTGTTCTCCCGATACACATCCTACAAGGGAGAGTGTATCAGGAGAACAACAGGAGGTGATGTCGAAAGTCTATCTCGGACCAAGCGAACCATGGAAACTAACCTCATCTACGCATCCGCTGGCTATCCAAAATACGTGGACAATCGAAGAGATACGGTCGCAGATATGCAAAGATCTCGCATACCTCCGACCGTATCTCTTTCGAATGGGAGACGCCTAACTGGGCTACGTGACCATATAAAACATGCATGCAAAGGAGGGGGTTATACCTAGGGTGGCGGTGGAGTCAGGCTAGCGGGGCAGTGGCGTGTCGGTGCAAGTGGGCGAGGTGATGCAGTGTGAGCGAGACCCAAGAGGCGCCGACGAAGACGATCGGGGTCGCTGAGTCCCTCCCACGGTCCTTCTCCTACATAAAAAGGCAATAGGTTAGAATCCATTGAAAATTTTCGGCAAAGACTCCCCCCTGCACGAGGAGGTTTCCAAAACCTGCAAGAAACGTAGGCGCGATGGCCAACAACCACATATATACCAAACATAGGCACGAAGGCCAACACACATATATATACCAAGACGAGCCATGTACTTTAGTTCTCTTTCCATGCAGATGAAAGTATCGAAGTAGTACAACAACAAGTACTACTACCACTACAACTACTACTAACACTAACACTACTACTATCACTACTTACTACTAACAATACTACTAACACTACTAACTACTAACTACTACTACTTACTAACTACTACAGGTGTAGGGCATACCTTCGCGATGAGAATGGCAACAACGAGGGTCGGCGACGACGACGGGGACGACCGCAGTGACATGAGGGTCGATGGGCCTAGGCCGGCACCTTCCTTCTCCTCTCCTTCTCCTTCTCCTCCTCTCTTCTCCCCTTCTCCTCTCTTCTCCCCTACCTCCTCCTCCTCTCTTCTGCAGTGGCGTGGTGGACGGGGCGGGGAGGCGCGGTGGCCGGGGCGGAGACCATGGGGGCACGCGCGGGGAGGCGCGGTGGCCGGGACAGGCGCCGTGGGGGCCTGTGTGGGGCCTTGATGTGGTGGTGGGCGGAGGAGGTCATGGGGCCCAAGGAGAGGGTGTGTGGTCGGGCGGGAAGGCTGTGGTGGTGGGGCCAGGCGCCATGCGGTCTGTGACAATGGTGAGGAGAGAGAAGAGAGGAGAGAGAAAGAGAGAAAGAGAGAGAGAGCCGGCCGGGCGGTGGGTGAAGGGTAAGGCGGCTTTGCCGAGTGCGGATCGGTGCACTCGGCAAAGTCAATTTTCTTCGTCGAGTGTCGTGATCGCACTCGTGAAGTTTTAAAAAATCAGCTGACTCTTTCTTGAGAGTGCCACGGTGGTGACACCAGGCACTTGCCGAAAGTGCCAACCCTAGGCACTCGGCAAAAAAAAATTGGTTTTTTGCCACCAATTTTTTTTTTGAAGCTTTAGGACACTACCACAAACAACATGTTTAAATTTGGGACATTTTTATTGCCTTTTGGCATATTTCTATAGTTTATTTTGTTTTGTTGAATTTTTCCAGAAAATGTAAGTTTGAACTGCAAGTGCATCGAATAATGGATTACATTCGTTCAAAAAATGTTATCCTTGTTTCTTAGTGTAAATTTAGGCTAAATCCAGGATCTATCTCGAAATTTTGATCAACGTGCTCACGGGGCAACTTCGATCAACGTGCTCACGAGGCAACGCCGCCAACTTGCGTGGGAGTGGTTTTTTAATTGTATAAAATGCGAACGAATTCCGAAAATCATAAAACTTGTCGAGTTGTCGCCGTATCGTATGTGTATGCCATGGAAAAAATTTGAAAAAGTTTTGAGCACGTTGTCACGTACGATGCTCACAAACCAGGATCACATGTGGAGATGTCCTAGTTTGTGAGCATCGTACGTGACAACGTGCTCGAAACTTTTTCAATTTTTTTCCACGGCATACGCATACGATACGGCGACAACTCGACAAGTTTCATGATTTTCAGAATTCGTTCGTATTTTAAACAATTAAAAAACCACTCACACGCAAGTTGGCGGCGTTGCCCCATGAGCACGTTGATCGAAATTTTGAGACAGATCCTGGATTTAGCCTAAATTTACACTAAGAAACAAGGATAACATTTTTTGAATGAATGTAATCCATTATTTGATGCACCTGCAGTTCAAACTTATATTTTCTAGAAAAATTCAACAAAACAAAATAAACTATAGAAATATGCCGAAAGGCAATAAAAATATCCCAAATTTAAACATGTTGTTTGTGGCAGCGTACTAAAGCTTCAAAAAAAATTGGTGATAAAAATCAACCTTTACCGAGTGCAGGTCTTTGCCGAGTGCCAGGCCTCTTTGTCGAGTGTCATATTTTGCTGAGTGCGGCGCTCGGCAAAGCAGCAGGTCTAATCACGTTTTTCCCGTAGTGGAGCGAGATGGCGCCGCCTCCGCCGCCAGAGCTCATGGACGACCTCATCGGCGAGATCCTCCTCCGCCTTCCGCCCAAAGACCCAGCGTGCCTCGTCCGCGCCTCCCTCATCTGCAAGCCCTGGCACCGCCTCCTCTCCGACGGCGCGTTCCTCCTCCAGTACAGCACCTTCCACCAGACGCCGCCCGTGAGGACCAGTACCGCAAGGGCACCTCCGTTCCAAGTACGTCCCCACAATACAGGCATCCCCGGTTTCCCAGCCCGCAATCGCCGTCGCTAGCGGCCCCACCACCTCGTGCTATACACTCGATTGCCGCCACGGTCGCGTGCTCTTCCAAGCCGAGGATCAGCCATCACAGACTCTCACCGTCTGGGATCCTATCACCGGCAATCATAAGCGCATCTCCCCGCCCATGCACCAGTACGCTGAGTTCTCCGCTGCGGTGCTGTGCGCTTCGGACGGTTGCAACCACCTCGGATGCAATGGGGGCCTTTCCTCGTGGTTATCGCGGGCATATATCATGCCGAGGAGGAGGAGGACGATGACGAGGGAGACGCAGACGGAGGTCCTGTGGGATGGGCTAGTCTCTACTCATCAGAGACTGAGGTGTGGAGCGCATCCACCTCCATTAATGTCGATTCCTTTATCGACGTTGTCCTGCCCAGTCTGCTCGTTAGAGATGCAATCTACTTTATCCTTGAGAATGGTGAAAAAAGCCTCAAGTACGGCTTGCTCGGTGGTGTCCTATCGGTGATCAACGCGCCGCCACAGCATGAACCAAACATGATCTTCGCCACGGCGCATGATGGTGAGCTCGGAGCCGCCACTGTGGAGTTCTACAGCTTGCACCTGTGGTCGTGGCGAGCGACTGACCCCGACGACAGCATTGGGGAATGGGTAAGGTGCAGGGTAATCGAGCTTGATGTGATGATCCCAATCTGATGACCCCTTGACTACGTTTGATTTGGCTGGCTTTGCGGAAGGTACTGGCTCAATTTTCATCAGTGCAAATGATGACATCCTCACTGTTGAACTCAAGTCTGGCCAGATCACAAAGACGTGCAAGAGAACAAGTGGCAGCCCCATCTTTCCTTTCATGAGCTTCTACACTCCTGGTAAAGTTTTATTTCTGCATATTTATACGACTCAATATTTATTTAGACTGTTGCAAAATTATAGCATCAGAGATATTATTCTCAGTTGTAACTTGTGAATTGCCAACATTATTCAGACTGTTGCAAAATTCAGCCTCAGAGATATTGTTCTAGTGAGTGGTGCGATAATGTGGATAATTGTAACTTCGATGAAGAAAAATGAACCTGTAGAATTTTTAAAATGCAATCTCAAATGTAGAAAAAAATAACTTGTTAAGTGGTTTACTAGGACAATAACTTTCCATATGCGTAGCCACTTGCCGATCTATATTGTGTTAAGACCTGTGTGGCCAATCTAATTCACATGTTCTGAATCTCAGTCCTGCAACTAGCAACATTTCGTATCCATGTGAGATCTTTTTGCTATGTCATTTTTATTATGTTTTTCTTTTTCAGATCTTGTTACCGCTAGATTGCAAGTGCCAATGAGGACTGATTGATCAATGAAAAAAATTGATCAAGCTACTGTGGGGAACTTGCGGAGTTGATGCTTGAGATGTTCTGTATCAGTTCTCAGTTAAGAAAGAGTATCCTATTATGTTTTTTTGTATGTTTCATCTTCACAAATTTCCATGAGTCCATAATTACAGACCAAGAAGATCCATGATTCTGGTTTACTTATATGTATGCTTGTCTGAGACTTAATGCCCAAATCATGGTAACTGGCCTGCTTAAATTTTCAAAATGATGTGTCATTGTCTTCTCTTTTTTATGATAAAGAATCTGTATGAGTGATTTAATTGTTATATCTTGAAGATGATTTGCATGGTTTACCTAGGGTGTACTTTCAGAAGATGATTACTCAAGGCACTGTTTTCATTTTCATTACTGCATCTGAAATGGATTGAAGTTAAGCTGTTATATTTTTCAGTTCATGTCTGTAGATATTTTGCTCAAGTGCTGCATAAACCAATTTTTCTAAAAACATTATTGTAGAGAGATAGGGAAACACCACACACCCTCTTAGGGGGGTGACCTTTTATATATATAGCCCAATGTTGCTTGGAGTACAATATGTCCAAATACAACGTATATAGGACTATACATGTCTAATTCCCGCCCGCAATCGTAGCGGGAGGATCTCGGACGCAAAGACTGGACCTAAAGTCTGTGAACAACTGTACAGGTAAGCCTTTGGTCATGATGTCCGCGAACTGATGAGTCGAAGGGACATGCAGCACCCGAACCTATCCCAAGGCAACCTTGTCGCGGACGAAGTGAATGTCAATCTCGATGTGCTTTGTGCGATGATGGTGGAAAGGACTAGCGGTCATATAGACGGTGCTAACATTGTCACAGGGGTCGCAGAAGCAATGGGGGCATGGAGCTCCTGGAGAAGGGGACAAAGCCAACAGCACTTGGGCACGGCATGAGCAACCAGGTTGTCACCGAGGAAGACACAGTAGCCTGACGTAGAGCGCCTAGAGTTTGGACAGCCCACCCAGTCCGCATCGGAGTATGCGGCGAGGGAGTCAACCGGCCCAGAGCTGAGGTGGAGACCGGTGGACAAGGTACCCTTCACATAGCGCAGGATGCGCTTGATCAGCGTGAGATAAGGCTCACGGGGATCCTGCATGAAGAGGCACACCTGCTGGACTACGTAGGTGAGCTCGGGATAGGTGAGCGTCAGGTACTGTAGAGCACCGGCATGACTCAGTACTGTGAAGGATCAACAATTGGTGCTCCGTCGATGGCGGAGAGCTTGGCATGAGTGTCAACCAGTATGGCCGTAGGGTGATTGTCGGCCCCTCATTTCTGAGAGTCCTAGGTGCATCTGACTTGCACCAGGATCATGCACAAGTACGCAGAAAATCAACAGGAATGGCACACAGATATAAAATAAAAGGTTCCGAGCTTTATTAATATCTAAAATAGGGTTCTACAACAGTGGCCCGAAGGGCATAGTCATAGGCCTACATAACTAGCGGAATCTACGGCCGTGGAGCAGCATTTATTCATGGTGGTCTCTAGTACGATGGTATTTGAACGGCGTAGTGGTAACCTATTCCACAGGCAAGCTTGAGCGCGGTCGAAACCCTAGCTTCGATGTCATCTTCTATGATTGGACTCTTCGCATAACTCCTAATCTTCGTGGCGCGCTTCCTCATCATAGTCTTGGTCTTCCTCAGTGCCAAAGTCTATGAGTCAACAATGGGTGAGTACTTACGTACTCAGCAAGCCCTAACCAAAGGGTGGAAATAGAGGTGTGGTGGCGATTATAATTATGGGTTGGGTCCTAACGGAGCATTATCATTCCGGCTAGTCCCGGGTTAGTGTCAAGTTACGTTACCAGTTTTATTACACATAAAAGTAAAGCTAATCATAGTATCCCATCCTAGCATCTGCCCATTCCAAGGACATGACTATTCGAATAGATTTTAGTAACTCTGCGGAGGTGTACAAATTTCCCCACATGATAGGCACAATTCCTTCCATGATAAGTGGATGAAATAGGCCTAATGAGACCCCATGCCTGCTTGGGTGCTACCCTAGACATCCATATAACTCTACTGTGGCTTCTCAGGGGTTGGAAAACACACTAAACTTCGAGAGGATACCTTATCATCCCATCTCAAAATCCCGGATGATACCACATCATCCCTTCATATAATCTCGAATGATACCACATCATCCCAACATAACAGTGCCAATGATACTAAATCATTAAAATAAACAATAATAAAATGGGCTCGAACACGGCCAAGGTCAAGGGGCTTAACGTGGAGGATCACATAACAACCACGCCAACCGGACCATGGAAGATCACATTGCATCCGTGTCGGCTCCTGATATTCTTCTACCAACACCGGCCTCCTAGTAGGAATCATACTTCTATCCAATGGGGTGTGAGATCAAGTCTACCCATATAGACATGTGGTTGTACGTAACATCACACTAGGCGAGAGGGACTACGAACCGGTCCTTATGTGACCGAAGTGATCATCTCCCAGGGAACTCTATCTTGGCATTCCCGCCAAGATAACTTATCCTGCATAAGCTATCCCGCTTGCCCCCTATCGGCATTTAATTTCAGGTTTACCAAGTTTTAAGTTCCATTAATTATTATCCCTAAGTTCATCTATATTGTGGAGCTCATAAATTAACAAGATAACCACTTATCTTAATTCAACATTAATCATTTCACCATAACCGAGCTCATAATCCAGGATAATAATTAAGCAAGTTATTCATTTAGTGATAGATTAAGCAAGATGGTAGAGGGAGGGGGAGCTAGGACTTTACTTTGCTATTGGCTACTTTCGGCACATTCTCATAGTCAGGGTCTTTGCTCTCCTGGTAGTCACCGTCGTCTGCTAGCCCAATTGGCCAATGGCGCAGCAGAGAGGGAGGAAGAGGGAGGCGGCTTCAATGGCGCTGGCAACTCCTAATTTGGGGGAAAACGAAGCAGAGCAAGGAGGAGAAGGGAAAGGGGAAGAGGAGGGGGAGATGGGGTGTTCCCGCTCATGGCAGAGCTGGTGGAGGAGATGGTGAGGCCAAAGCGGTAATGGCCAAGCCTATTAATAGGTCGGCCATGTCGGTTTTGGCAGCGAGATATTTGTCACTCGCCGAGCTCACCCGGGATGAGCACATGTGCCTAATGCCTTTAGGTTGGTTCACCATAGTGCGGGCCTACCCACACGTGCAGCTGAGAGAGCTCGAGCTCATCTAGGGTGGTACAGCGGGGTTGTTTCGCCGTCGTGTGTTATGGGAGGAGCAGTGAGGGAGAGAGAGAAGAGGGGAGAGGCGGAGCGGTGGAGTGGGGCTAGGAAAAGATCTCATGAGCATCCCAGAGGGCTTTACTTCGCTGGGGCGAGTTGGTGGTGGCGGGGCTAGGCCACTCGGGCGGTGACGCGGTATTTGAGTCATGGGCCCGATGTAGAAGACAGGCCTGACAGCTGGGTCCCACCTGCCAGTGAGAGTGAGGGAGAGGGAAGAGGAGGCTAGGGCGCGGTGATGGGCCGGCCCAGCGTGGGTGGGATATGGAGAGGAGAAGGGAAAGGGGTGGAGTTGCGCTGCTGCTGCTGCTGCTGTCGGCCGAGGGGAGGGGAAATGAGACCATTGCTCATTTCTCTATTTCCTTTCCTTTTTCTTCTTCCCAGATTTCCTATACTATGTTTGAATGCATTTTGAATTTGAATTTGAATATGAATGCATGCAAGGTGTGCCACCATATGTTCAACAAGCAAGCAAACACTCAAGCACACAATTCTACACCTATAGTTTTATTCCTATGTTGATCTATTTATATTAATTCCTAGGTTAATTAATTATATGTGTGGGTTCCTATGCAAAGCTTTAAAAAGTTCAAATTTTTAGTGGTTTTTAAATTAGGTCAAAATTTAGGGTGTTACAAACCTACCCCTCTTAAAAAGAATCTCGTCCTCGAGATTCGAACTGATCCTCAAATAGGTAGGAAAATTCTATCTTAAGGTCATCTTCTCTTTCCCATGTGGCCTCTACCTCAATATGATTACTCCATTGTACCGACAAAATCTTAATGTTGTCCTTGTTTGTCGGATGGCAACATCCAATATCTAGACTAGTCTCTCTTGGTACTGTAAATTTGGTTCTAAATCTATGGCTTCCATAGGTGCTTGTTCTTCCAGTACCCTCAAGCATTTCTTTAGTTGAGACACATGAAACACATCATGAACATCTGACAAATCTAGAGGTAATTCCAGACGATAGGCTACGGCTCTAATCTTTTCAATGATCTGATATGGCCCAATATACCGTGGTGCTAATTTTCAATGACTTGGAATCTTTGAGTGTCCTTGATTGGTGATACTTTCAAATAGGCATAATCTCCTGGTTGAAATTCCAATGGCCTTCGTCGGGTGTCTGCATAGCTCTTTTGTCTGCTTTGTGCCGCTTTCAGGTTCTCTCGAACTTTGGCTACTTATTCTTGGCTTCCTTGATCATGTCTAGACCAAATAAGTTTCTTTCTCCAACCTCAGACCACATTAATGGTGTTCAGTATCTTGTTCCATATAATGCTTCAAATGGTGACATCCTTAGACTTGCTTGGTAACCATTATTGCAGGAGAATTCCACGAATGACAAGCTCTTTTCCCAGTCTTTTCCATAAGTGAGTACACATGCTCGTAACATGTCTTCCAATATCTGATTTATCCACTCTGTCTATCCATTAGTTTGTGGGTGGTAGGCTGAACTATAATCTAGATGGGTTCCCAATGCTTTGTGTAAACTCTTCCAAAATCATGCTGTGAATTGAGTCCCTCTATCTGATACGATTCAGCTTGGTACTCCATGCAATCGGAGGATATTGTTAATGTATAGCTACGCTAACATGTTTCCTTCGTAATCGGCTATTACTGGTATAAATAGTGCTACTTTTGTCAGTCGATCCACTATGACCCATATGGAATCATGTCCATTTTGTGTCTTGGGCAGCCCTACTATGAACTCCATGCTGATC